TGAGCAGGGAGCCCGATGCGGGACTCGATCCCGGGACTCCAGGATCATGACCTGAGCCGAAGGCAGTTGCTTAACCAACTGAGCCACCCAGGCGCCCTCACTGACTTCTTTTGACTTGACTTTTCCTCCTTTGGGGAATGGGGGAGTACACTATTACTTAAACAGTGAGGATCACGTGTGTTTTGTTTGAGCCTTGCCTTGAGCGTAAGTGTGTTATAGCCACAAAGAGCTTAACGGGAGCAGAAACGAGCTACAGGATAATTAATGAAGGGAGAATCTCCTCATTCAAATATGTACGGCGCGGGCACCAGTCCCCTTGCAGTATGGGATTTAGAGAGGCCATCCTGCAGAACCCCATGCACCAGTGGGCCAGCCTGAGGCAAGGCCTTGCTGCTTGCAGTGGTGTTTTGAGGAAGCTTCAGAGACTCAAAAACACACTCATCAGTCTAAATGTAATTTGATTATGCAAACATTAAAGGTTCTTACCATTGATGTTACTGGTAGATCAGACTGTAGTCATCAACCAAGGAATAGTCAGGAGCATCTGCAAAGGGCAGAACAGCAACATTAAGTTAATCTTGTTTCATGATAAGATCTTAGCCGTTCTGAAATCAGAACATTCCACTTTGAGATTCTAGTGACTGTCCTTTTATAAAAAGAAAACATCTGGCGACAAATCCTACCAACGGTAGTCATGACTATAAACCAGAGGATTCACTCGCACATTCTGGAAATCACTACTATGATTTCATTGCCCTTTTCATCCATGCACAGATAGCAGCACCCAGAGTAAAGTCATCTTCAGACGTAGACATAAATAAGTCCCACGTTATCGGATGGTAATTGTTTTACAAAAATAAAATAACTTAAATCCTTTTATTTTTCAAAGATATCATTTCAGCCCCTGAATTTCTTTCAGTCACTGAGGCTCTACTAAGCTCCCATATGCTGCATGAGTTTTCTCTTCCCTCAGTCCCTAGAACCCGGGTAGGTAGATCTTTCTTTTACTCGAATAACAGATATTTGCTGAGCACCTACTATGTGCCCAGTACTGTGTTAGGTGCTATGAGTGATACAGGAGAAAACCAAGTGCCCACCCTCAAGGATCTTATAATTATCCAAGGACTAAAACTAACAAAAAGTGCTAAAATGTGTGGTTGTCCCAGAGTATCATTAGGAGTTCTGAATGAAAAAGAGACCAGAGTGATGAGTGAAAGACCCAATTACGGTCAGTGCACAAATATATAATATTAGGTTATATGTTTCTAGACATCTTTGCCTTCTATCAGTTATGTTTCTGTGTAATCCAAAGGAAACTATATCTCACTTTGCTGTTTATATGGTTCAAGTTGAAATAATCTCTTAGGTCTAAGACTGCCTCATAATAAGTTTCTTTTGGTACTCCAAGAGTGGAATTCTCTTTGATAAGCTATAAAGTAGACCACCAATTACCAAAGTCCACTCTGTGACAAATAGTATTATATTAAGATCCTGATACAGGTTCATTCTCTTGAGAATTTGATTCTATTTATTCCCTTCTTTCCGGGCGCCTGGGTGGCTCAGTCGTTAAGCGTCTGCCTTTGGCTCAGGTCATGATCCCAGGGTCCTGGGACCGAGCCCTATATTGGGTTCCCTGCTCAGCGTGGAGCCTGCTTCTCCCTCTCCCACTCCCCCTGCTTGTGTTCCCTCTCTCACTGTGTCTCTCTCTGAAAAAACGAAAAACCTGTTTTGTTTCCTAAGAGACAGTAGCACCAAACCAGGGAGGGTGGGAGAGAGGCTGTTCCAGTTCCTGTATCCCACCCCCACTCCTGGCACTCCCAGGAACATACTAAATCAGGAATGTGCAAGAGGATCCACTCTTCAAAAACAGTTTTTTATTAAAGAAGTAATAAAGTTTCATTGTAAACCAACTGGAAAACATAAGAAAAACTATTACTTGTTTGGGAATATACCTTTTCAAGCCTTTTCTTTGCTCATCCATACATATGTTGTCATACCCCAAGATACGCCCATTTGGGTTAAAACATTCATACTTGATAGAGTTTCATATAGTACTATTTTGGCTTTGGAGGCATTCCTTCACATTTGTGAAGACTGAGATTGACTTGGGACATGTTGCAAGCTGCAAGTGTCTGAGAACCAAAGACAGAGCACCATCTTTGCAGTAATGGTTGCCTCCACAATTCAGCTCTAGGAATCCTTGTTTGCTAGTTTGGAGCAGTAATAATCTGAGATAAGTTGACCCCCATAATGCCCTTGTGTAATAGGTGAGTGTGATAGTGTTTGCCTCATTTTCACTGACTTTTTTTTTTTTTTAA